TAAGAAAAACTAATGAATCTAACGCCAGCTCTTTGCCAGCCCTCTTCTCTCTCCCTCAGAGAACAAAGAAAGTAGTGCAATGAGGAAGGACTGCAACTAATCTTCTAAACAGCCATGGTTGCATAGGTAGGAGTTAAACTGGACAGTGTGACTTTTCTGCAGGTCAAATACCTTCTTGTCTGGGGCCTAAGGACTTCTATCCCGATATGTTTTTCTCTTAAGGATTTGGATTTTGGGCCACTTTGCAAATAAGAACCTAAAATAACCAACATAGCGAATCTGAAAGGCCTATCAACTGTATATTGCATACTTTAGCGAGTGACTATTTTCTTTGTTTAGGGTTTCTTTTTTCTCTTTAACTTTTCCAGATTCTGTCTCCTCTTTTAAATAAAGAAATGCCCATTGTTAGAAAGGAAACTCACGGCCTTTTCTTCTGAGATTTACCAAAAGATTGAGGAGTGGTGGAGTGCAGATAAAGTAACTAATGAGGGAATGGATCTCGAGTGGGGTACCTCATAGAGTTGTGTTGTTAACCCACAGGTGGCACTGCACTCATGGTTCGGATCATGCCAGGAGCTCTACTGGACAAAGATAGGTAATCTCCTGTCGTGTGATTTGCAGCCTTGACAAGTCACCAGAGGGTTAGCTGTGAGTCAATTCCTATAATGAGTGAGTGAGTGAGGAATGAGGCAGCAGAAAACAATCAGCAACTAACTGTGGTTATATTTAGGTGTAGCCTTATGGAAGTGGTTTTAGGAAACCCTGGTGGCGTAGGTAGAAATGAGTTGTGCTAATTCAAAGGTGGCACTCTGTGGTGGTTCAAATCCATCAGCCGCTCCGTGGGGTGAAAATGGGCAACCTCTTCCCTTGCAATGTATAGCCTTGGCAAATCCTCTGGAGCGTCAGCTTTGAGTTGATTCTGACTTTAGGGCAATAAGTACTTTTGCATTTATGGAAGTGGTTATTCTTTGTGACTCTGTGCTTTTTAACTCTGTGCTTTTTATGATGTGCATATATTTTTGTTAGAAAATACTTACAGCATAAAAAAACCCCAGAAATGGCTAACACTAAGATAACCTCACTCAGGAAAGAAAACAGTAAGGCTTAAATGACATCCCCTATTGTATAATATTTTCTAATAAAAAGACAACAGATTTACACTCCACAGTTCTGAACAGTTGCTCACAAACATCTGGACTTTCAGACAGTAAAATTTCCAAATAAATGTTTGAGATTTGTGGGACCCCCTATTTTGCACAGTTAGAAACTGTGAAACTGACACATAGCTGACCCTCAGGGGTTTTGGAGATTAGAAATCAGACGAGAAGAGATTTCCCTTCTCCTGCAGAACCTCTGGTAGATTCAGATCACCAGAGAGGCTCCATCTTGAGGTGGTCCCTGCAACTCCCCACTGACTGAGCCACTAGAACTGAAAGAAACAGCTGAACAACAATAACAAAAAATACCCCAAAAGCTATCATCTACAATTACAGTATCTTCATAAGAGAAAAGACATTTAATATTGATACTGTAAGAGGATTCCCAAGATTTAAAAACTTGAAAACAAAGAATTTTAATTTAGCTTAGTAAAAAAAAAAAATTTAAAAAAAATTCATTTCTAAATAGGCCCTAAGGAAAGTTCCTTTTGAACCAGCACCTGACCCTGTTGGCATTTAGGAATCACCAATTTAGAAACACAACTTCTGTGACCTATGTCCCTAAAGAGAAACAGGGGCTTTCTGCAGGGAACCACCTCCGTCCTAAGACGCACAGACATGCTTTTGCATTCCCACGCCTTCTCAGTCAGGTTACCTCATTCAACCTTTTAGCTGCCTCTGATCCATTAGCTCCCTGGTGGCCTAGTGGTAAGAAGTTGTGGTGCAATCCTGAAGGCAAATGGTTTAAATTCACCAGCTGCTCCATGGGAGAAGGATAGGCAATTTCCTTCAGTGCAATTAACTGACCCTGATAACTTCTGTGTGGGTTCTGACTTAACAGTGCACAACAACCACCATCTTATCTCCTCAACTAGGTTCCACACCAGTATCTTCTTCCTCCTCAACAGATATGCTTCCCTCATTTGTGCTCTTAGGTGCTCTACTTATGTAGTACATACAGGTCTACTGCTAATCAAAAGATTAGTGGTTCAAATCTGCTAATTAGTGTTCGAATAGCTCCTCTTGGTGAGAAAGATGTCAGTTTTCTCATGTAAAGTCTCAGAAACATGGTGGGATATTGCTGTAAGTTAAAATTGACTCCCAGGCAGTGAGTTTTGTGCTTTGCAAGGCATGTGGAATCCCTGCCCTGCTTTTTTAGAAATCCGAGCCTGACACAAAGGATTCAAGCTTAACCACTAACTAGCCTGCTAGTGTTTAAACCCACACAGAAGCACTTTAGAAGACAGGCCTGACCATTTGCATGCATGCAAAAGGTCAGCCACTGAAAACCCTATGCATTTCCCTGCCCACACAGGGCTACCCAGAGTCAGAACTGACTCCATGGTAGCTGCGTCCCTTCACTGCCAGGTCCAGGCTGTGGAGGATCTGACCTCAGACCTGCAGTCAGAAAGGTGTCTTGGCACTGGCTGGTCTCTTGAAAAAATGATTCCAGAGTCTGAAAACAGAGTTATGATGAAGAAAGTACCAATGTCAGAGAATCATGACAGATTACGTGACCTCCTCAACATTATTGAACAGGGGAGGAACAAAAAATTGTTATCAATGTGGCAGCACCATCTAAGAGTCCTGGCCCTGCTCCTTCCCCCTTGGGCTTTGTATTCAAGTCAAGAAACAATGGACAGGCAATGTCAGTCACCTTACCACACCTGTTCTAGAATGGGAGTGAGGGGTGGGGAGCAGACTATAAATAAGCAATGAGAATTTTGCAACAATAACCAGGTAAGCTGGCTGTGCCACTCTCTCCACCCTCAGATGAGAACCCATGATCTGGTACAAGCTAGAACAAGATAAAGCAAATAATTAAAAATAGTTTGAGCTAAATATTCATTCTGTTAAAAAAATCAGTAAAAAGACAAAAACAAGAGAGACAACTCATTTCATATGAGTTGAATGTTAGTTGAATGATTTACTCAAAGTCATACATCTGGTTGATGAAAAGTCTGGAAAATAATGTGTATTTTGTGAATCTCAAGTCTGAGCGTTCTTTCACTCCCCATGTGGTCCCCGTGTTTAATCTGACACCACAACTAAGGGTGTGCCTGTCCTTTGGCCAGACCTCTCAGATCCCTGGGCCTCTGTTTCCTCAACTGCAAAAGGAGAAGCTTACATGAGACAATCTCTGAGAACCAAGGTAAAATGAATCTTACAAATGCAGAATTGTGGACAAGTAACCTAGAAGAGGCCTAATTTTTAAAAATAAAAAAAGACTACACCTAACACTAGCCCTAGTTCAAACAATGGCTCTGTTTGATTCAAGGTAGATTTGGTAGCTATTATCCAACATTCATGTGACATACAAATAGGCATGTTGGGCATGTTGGGGGGGGAGTAGGGGTGCCAATCCTTGGAAGAAGATAACCTGTTGAGAAAGGCAGAAGGTCAGTGAGAGAGAGATGGATTGACATGGTGACTGCAACAGTGGACTTGACCATGTGGAGACTGTGAGGCGAGAGCAGGATAGCACAAGGTTTTGATCTGTTGTTCATCAAGTTGCTGTGAGTTGTAGTCAACTCACTTGTACCGAATGACAACAACCAGTCAAAATCTTCTACCTCCATCTTCTTTTCTAATCTCCGGTGCACCTCTCAGACTCAAGCACCTGGAGGTGTCCTCAGAGCCATCAGGGCCACAGTCAGAGAAGGCCTGGGCAACAGCAGTGTGCTGGGTAATTTGGAGTGATTTTCCACAGGCATATTGTTAGCCTTGGGAATACCTCCCATACTAAGGATTTCTGTTCCTAGGATCTCACTGGCAAGCAACCCCACTTCATGTGCCCCCTCCACAGGACCCTTATCTAGTATAACAGCTCTTCTGGTCCTCACCCATTTTTGATCTATTTTACTGTCATTCAAGTGAAGCAGTTATGATCCTCCATACCCCTCTCCCTCCTTAAATAACAATAATAATAAAACCTACACGCTTCTGTATCTCGTATACAGGAAACACACATGCACATAAGCACACACATACATACATATGTTCATACGTTTTTGTTTGCTTGCTTGATTTATAGTTGAGGTTTAAGTGCAGGTGGCCATTTGCAAAGAATGAGAGATTTTACTTGTCTGGAGTGTAGGCCGTGTTCCTTTCTTAGTAACTCAGCTTTGATGTCTCCATCCTGCCCTTCTTAGAAGCCCCAGCATTTGTCCTGACCTGGAAGCTCACCCAGATCCTTAAATCAAAGAATATCGCTCCCCCACCCAATATCATTACTTTAACTTTCTTTTTAAGAGGACATCAAAGAGAAGAAGGAGAGTACGGAGGGAATTGTTGTTGTTATGTGCCGTCAAGTCTCCAGCGACTCATAGTGACCCTATGTACAACAGCTCTAAATCCTGTTCTATCCTATGCCAATCTTATTGTCTCTGACACACCTAGTGACTCCAGAGAATCCCAGATGCTACAACCTGGGGACAGATGACTTTCAACTTTCTAAGCATTCAAGCAACAACTTGGACCACACTTGGAATTCACGCTCCTTTTATTTAGACCATCGCATCTGCGTGGGACTCCTCACAACAACCCTGTGAGGTAGGGAGCACCCCCATTTCCCTGAGGGAGGAAGGGGGAGTCTGCCTCTCGTTGGAGGTCTCATGCAGGAAGCAGAGCTGCCAGCTGGCAAGCAGCCCTGGCAGAGCAGATTCCAAAGCCAAGAGAGCAAAGTCTTTCTCAGTTTTGAGGCAATTTCCCATCCACCAATCCAAACTTTCCCCTTGATAGTCCCAACACAGAAGCAGGGGCCCTGAGAATGCAGCGAGTGGGCAGGTTAGGGCAGGAGGAGCCCAGGACCACCAGGATGCAGATGGGGGCACCAGGCGGCGCTCACTTGCTAGTGAGGATGCGCGCAAACTCCTGGTAGTTCACCTGCCCATCCTTATCTGTGTCGGCCTCGCGGATCATCTGGTCCAACTCCTCATCGGAAAGCTCCACACCCAGGTTGCCCATCGCCTGCTTGAGCTCAGCCACGGTGATGTGACCGTCACCATTCACGTCAAAAACGCGGAAGGCCGCCTGCATCTCTTCCTCGCTGCTGGAACCCTTCCTCGCCTTGGACAACGCTGCCAGGAACTCCTGGAAGCTGATGGAACCGTCACCGTCGGTGTCCACCATTTTCATGATCATTTTCAATTCTTCCTCAGAAACTTCTTTACCCAGAGACTTCATCACCTGGCCCAGCTCCTGGAGGTTGATTTTGCCATCTCCATCCGTGTCAAACTGCGTGAAGGCTGCCTTATACTCTTCCATCTGCTCTGGACTCAGATTCTCGGCCATGTCTGTGCTCCCCGGGACCGTGTCACGAAGCTTCTGAGATTGCTTCCAACAAGAGCACTCCTTGCTGCTCAAAGGACCTGATGTCTGTCCAAAGTTTGGCACCCTCGGCTGAGAATCTAGACAGCGTCTGCTTGAAGGTGAAGTGCCAGAGGAAGCTTTGGCACGAACCCCCTTCTTTTTCTGCAGTTGGAGAAAGGGAGGAGAAAGGTTTGTACCTCCCATGTCCCCCGAGGCTAAATCCTCCTCCCAAGGAGTGGCTAACCAGCAGCAGACAAAAAAATGAAGTCATTGGAGTGACAGGACCCGCCCAGGAGATAGTTGGAGGAGATCCAGAGTAAGGGGCAAGGAGGGGTCTTGCCAACCTCTCCAGACCCCACCTGCAAACAACCACCCCAAAAACTTCTTGCTCATGGCTCGGTTACCCCAGCTGCTGATTCTCAGAGACCTTGTCCGAGCTGAGGTCGTCACTACAGCTTCCCTGGTTTTACAAAGGCCATGAATTGAACTTAATTCAGAACAAGGGGTCTGAAGTTTCGTTTTACTGGTTTTGGTGGATTTTTTGTTTGTTTGTTTGTTTAGGAACTCTGGTAGCCAGCTGGTAAGAAACTGAGTTGCAATCCCAAAGGCCTGTATTTGGAACCCACCAACTGCTCTGTGGGAGAAGGATGAGAGATCTCCTCCTGCATGATTTACTGCCTCTGAAAATCCCCATGGAGGGGCAGCTATGAGCTGGTGCTGACTCAAGGGCACACAGCAGCATCAACAAGAACAAAGATGTCATTCTCCTCCGTCACATTGGAGAGGATAACTGAGTTCACAACTATGAGCTGAAATCGATTCCACAGCACCTAACAACAAGAAAGGCAGGAGGCAAGGGAAGCTGATTCTCTCAGACTTTCAATGGGCTGTTGGAGGAGTGGGGCATCTGCCATGTGTGGGTATCTGTGCCTCATGTTTCTGTTCTTCCTCCCTCCTTGACTAAGAGCTCAACATCAGAGGCACTTGGTGGGTTCAAACAAAGCCATCTGAAAGCAGAGTCTTAAGAACGTTTTTGAAATCTTGACATGAGTCTATAATATCATCATCTACTCCCAAAGGAGTTTTCCACTACAGCCAAACAGGTGCAAGTTGTGACAGTTCTTACACAACAAGTTTTGATGCACAGCATTATAGATAAATCTTTATAATGTGCTCCAAGAAATTGTCATGATTAATAAAGCATTTTTTTCCATTTGCTGAATTTATTTAAACAATTTAGGAGTATCATTGAATTAAAATTTTTTTAATAAAGCATTTTTTTATACCAAGTTGCCTAAAAGACCTGTCCAAACATCTTATAATAAGCTGTAGAGCATGTACCCTTAACCAAGCTTATAATTCCACATATGGGTTATCCATCAAGCCCTGCTAAATCCCCATTTCACATGTTCCATCTCTGACTTCCTGCATTGTCTTCTAGCCAATTAGGATTTTATAACTTTTAGTTCCTGCTTCAACTGTTCAAAAAGTCTTTTCTTCCTCATTGTCCAGTGTAATGATCACTTTCACTCTGTGAATTTGTGAAATTAACTTTGTGAATTTCCGTCTCAATCTGGTCCACTCTAGTCCTCAATAAACGTCTCTCACTTTTGCCTTAAGCAGAGAACTGCTGCCCAGCTCTTGCTCTGAAGGGTGGGGCTGCTGGGAACCAGATGGGTGGAAGCACCAGTTTTCTCAAATTTCTAATCCAAGGTGGTGCACAAATCAACAGAGAGAAGATGTGGCTGGTTGCCTTTAACTTCTGGAAAATGAGGAGCTGGGGCTGCACTTCAGTTGTGATCTCCTCAGAACCAGGCATAGCAAACTGTTTATTAAATGAGCGTTTGAAGTATGGTTTCAGAGGCAAAAGAAGCTTCTTATTCTCCCAGAATACATTTCTACAATGATTTTAACAACGCCATTCTATGTTAAATCCCAGGTTCTATATGCAGACAACTAGGAGGGAGGGTAGCATTTGTTTACATCCACAGAGCATAAAGGCAGTGGTGGTGGTAGTGTATGTAATAAAAGTAGGAGAGCTAAGTTTGGATTCCTGTCTGAGAACTGGAGAGTCAACACTTAAGGGGCTGGAGAGATAGAAAGATGCAGGAAAAGGTGTTTGTAACCACAAAACTTGGACTATCCTACAACATTACCAAGAGTCAGCCCTGTATAAGGAAGAACCCAGTCTAGAAACACCGTAGGACTCTCAGTCTATCTACTCTCTGGAAGGAAATCTACATCTGCCTACTGCTTTGACTACTGAGTTTAGATTAAGAAATCATCCCCTAGGATATGGTCCCCAAGTCCTTGCATCAGTGAAACCCAAGGTAGCATTTGCCTTGGAAGTCTTTATAACTTTCAAGAAGTCTCCCCTTGATAGCCACAGATACATTCTCATTAATTCCTTCCAACCCTACCTAGTAAAGAATAAATTTCTTCACTATCCTCCTAAGAAATTCTATACATTCTGCTTCTCGCTGATTCAAACAATCAAGTAGGGCAACTAGTCTCTCCTTTCCTAGAGTACAGCCAAGTAAAATAGCTCCCCACCCCTCATTACTGTGCTCCCACCCTCTAACTCTAACCCTCAAGTTTAAAGGATGCCCAGATGTAGGGAGGGACTCAAGAGACATTCCAATTACCCTACTCCTGTTATCTTTATAAGATGCCTTGAATAATACTGCTATTTCATCTTTGTGCTGGAATGGTACAGAGGTTTCAATAAAGATTGTGTGGTTGCTCAATGAAGCTGACAACCAATATGAGATGGAGAGTGTTAGTTAAAAAAGACAAAGGAAGGGTGGAGCTCTTAATCACTGGAACCAGCTCAGCTCTTTTATTGTTTTAAAATATATAGGAAGATATAAATCTGTATTTTAAATCCCCCGTCTTCTCATCCTATTAGCAGGATACTAATTATTTTCTTTTTCTTTTCCCTTGGTGTCAAATAAACAATACATTATAAATAATGGAGAGCCTTTCAGGCTTTATCTGTAGACCTGAGCCTTTAATTCTAACTCTGTCACTAGTTTAAGGCCACAACTTGTGTCTCAGTCTCTTAATCCACAAAAGTGGCAAATATGTGCACTATATCTGATCAAAGTACTTAGGGTCAAAGATCAAAGTATAAAGTATAGAACAAACAAACATAAAGCATTATTATTCTGTGATTGACCTCATGTTTAATCACAAGCTGGCTCCGTTTGATATAAACGAACACTCAAGACAGTATCCATTTAGAGCAGGATCTCACTCTCATTGTTGCTATTATACCAATTTTGTTATTATACTTTCCTTGATGGAGCTGATAAACCTGTCTACCTTAAGGTTTTAGTTAGGTTAATCACTCCAAGGTCCTGAACAACGGCATCTCATCTTGCACATGAAGGTTAGTGGATGGGCCATATAAACATATAAAAAGTCCTATTTACAAAACACACCTAGCCAAGTCTCCTCATGGTCCCTGAGACAGGGACAGGGACAGGACACTGAGAGGAAGTTTTTTGTTGTTCTTTATATTGTTTTACTTCATACCTCCCAAGTTCACTTTTTTATTCCATATTTTTTGTTTTTCTATTTGTTTGCTCACAAAATTCATATACATTGTGTTTCACACTCTTCTTCATTCCTATTATGTTTCATACAATCATTCTCATGCATTATGTTTTATAACTCACCATTGGACTTTACCCATCATTACCCATTCTTTTCAGGTTCCCTTTGGATCCTTCCCATTTCCTTCACCCCCTCCCTCCACCTTGTGGATTCGCCCCTAGCCATCATGAGAGTAGTAATTAATGCAATGCTTGGTTTCTAAATGAAAGGATGGAGTCTTCAGGACATAGAGTGATGTATCTGAGCTACTCAATAATTTGGGGAGATATTTAGATTACTAACTCCAGACCATGGTCTTTTCAATCACTTGTTATGTGTCAGAGAGTTGGACAATGACTAGGGATGATAGAGGGAGAATTGATGCCTTTGAGCTGTGGTGCTGGAGAAGAGTATTGCATGTACCATCGACTGCTAAGAAAACAAACAGGTTCATCCTGGAGAGGGTTAAACCAGGTGGCTCCTTGGAGGCAAGGATTCTGAGGCTTCGTCTGACATACTTTGGACATGGTGCAAGGAGGGACCAGTCCTTGGAGAGAGAGATCATGCTTGGGAAGGTGGAGGGACAGCACAGGAGGGGAAAGACCCTCTATGAGGTGGTTCAGTGACTGGGGTAATCGGGATGGGTGTATCGGAGATGGTGCGATTGGCACAGGACAGAGCAGAGTTTAGGGCTGTTGTACATAGGGTCGCTATGAGTCTCAAGCGACTCGACGGCACATAACAACAACAACAACTCCAAACCAAACCCAACTGACTGCCATCAGCTTGGTTCTCACTCAAAGAGACTCTGTCTGGTTTCTTCCCCCCCCCCCCCAGGTGCGTGTCGGGGCCTGGGTTTCAGCTGTCCACACCACAGCAGTGGGCAACGATCTTAAAGCCCCTGATGGCTCTGGGTGCTGACTCTCTGTCTGGTTTCTGAAACTGTAAATCTTACAGGAGGAGATTGTCCATATTTATCTCTTAGAGAGGCTGGTGGACCCAAGCCACCAGCTTTTCGGTTAGCAGCCAGACACAGCATGTACTATGTCACTAGAGCTTCTGATTAGTACTTTTCAATTCTGTGTCTGCCATTTGGGATACTATTTCCTATTTTCTATTCAAAGTGTGAATAAACATTAAAGGTGGTTTTGATAATCCTTCTTACCCAGCATCTTGCCTCAAACAGCTTTTAATCAGCAGCATTGGTTGAGGTTCATATTTCTGTAAGTAGCTGAGGGAGGGAGTTGCTATCACATCCTCTCAGAGTTGCCTTTAGGTGTAGCCATTGATGAATGGCAATAAATAAATAAATAAATAAATAAATAAATAAATAAATAAATAAATGTATATAATATAGTAATTGCAGATATGTAAATATATATAAA